GTTAATTTCCATTTCGACATTCGTTTTCATTCTCAATCCTAAAAACCTGTTTATGTAATGGTAACAGTACACAAACTTTAAAGACTAAACTTACAAACCAGTTTATAAACTATCTGGTAGCTAAAAAAACTGGTTGTTAGTTAATGCATTAACTGATTGTGGAAAGACTAATTAATAATCATTACCTATGTTTTTTTTATTATAACAGATAAACTGTTATAATATCTTTAGCCAGATCTTTTAATGAGATTAAACTGATACAAGATTTTCAATGAAAATAACATTATTACAATAATAAAACAATAGCATGCCAATACACTACAAAAACACATGTTCAAGATATACCTTGAATTCTACATAGAGGGCTGTTTGGCAGTTGTTGAATGGTTTGGTGTAGAATTATTAAGTGGTCAGAATGATTAAGAGACTCTCATGATATAGTGCAAAATGAATGTAATTGTTTGATAATTGGTTACAATGAAATTAATGCGTTGAATGGTTAACGAAGGTTCACGATACAAAATCATTCAGAGAGTTTTAAAATAATTAAGAGACGTACTTTTTTTTTTGTCAAACAAGATTCATTGTTTAATTATTCAGATACTGCACTTAATAGAACTATTATAAGGTAAACAAACAACCTTTCACTTATGATTATAAATATAATCCAATTAAGATTTATTTATATGATTCTTAAAAATTATATTTTTTTAAATGATTTCACACACACTTTATATTTCAAGTTCTCTCTCTCTCTCTCTCTCTCTCTCTATATATATAGTAGCAATCAAATGCAAACTACCCAATTTGTACAAACCGTGCAAACCAACTTCATCCGTCGATTTTATTGTTTAATCTTATGAAATTTTTCACATAATACGTTTTTTTTATGAAGTTGTTTCATATAATACTTAATGAATTTTTAGTGAAACTATTTCATAATTTTCTCTAAAATTAAAATAATGAAGATGGTAATATTCATGATTAACTCTCTCCATAATAAAAATGATTAATCAACCTCTCATAATTACAAAAAAATGAATAAAATGAAAAATTATGATTGGTTGAATGAGGTTTGTACGATTTCTACATTAGATGGTTTGTATTTGATCACTCATCTCTCTCTCTGTATATATATATATATATATATATATATATTTTAGAGATGTTAATATTAGTTTTATATCAAGTTCGTGTTCTTTAGATGTTACTACATGTGACATTTTTCATAAATATTTTTTCAAAAATAAAAATCAAAAAATAAAATTTAAAACAGATTCATAAAACATGTTTTTCCCAGTTTTGTCTTTCCATGTCTCCAATATGAATTCTTTTTTTTTTCCTTTACTTATTTAGTTTGTTTCAATCTTGGCCTTTCATCCAAAAAATGAATGAATGTGATCAGGAGGTTTGTATGAAATTGATGGTTTGCAAAGTATAAACATTATATATATATATATATATATATGTAGGGTTTATTTCAAATACAACATATCGTATTTGTACAACCAATACAACCCAATAAATTGAAATATTTATGGAAATGATTATAGTTCATTTATTATGATTTAAATATTTATGGAAGATGAATACAGTTATATATATATATATATATTGTTTCATATAATACTTTTTGTAAAAACACTCAATTTGTAAAAACTTCATTCAACCAATTATATTTTTTCATTTTGTTCATTTTTTTGTAATTATGAGAGGTTGATTAATCATTTTTATTGTGGATGGTGTTAATCATGGATATTATCATCTTCATTATTTTAATTTTAGAGAAATACATGACACAGTTTTTATTAAAATTTCATTAAGTAGTATATAAAACAATTTCATAAACATATATGAAACAACTTCATAAAAAAAAAGTATTATATGAAACAATTTCACATGATTAAACAATTTCATGAAAAAATTTCATAAGATTAAACAATAGAGAGAGAGGTAGATTATTATACAACCTCTTACATTTGTACAACTAATACAACTCAATCTCAACCGTCCATTTAATTTGATGAATATGTAATTTATAGAAATTTTGATTATTTTTTAATATAAAGTATTAATAATAATTAATAAACTGTATTCATCTTCCACATATACTTAAATCATAATAAATGAACTTTCATAATTTTCATAAATATTTCAATTTTATTGGGTTGCATTGGTTGTACAAATGCAATAGGTTGTATTTGAAACAAACTCTTTCTATATATATATATATATATATATATATATATATTGTGAAGGGTTCGAACGAGAACACCTTCATGTTACGAGGACACGAGAACACCCTTTTACTATAAACAATTGCATGTGTCATGTGATACTATTATTTTATTACATATGATACACATGTGTACTAATTCAGAGACGCGGACGATTTTCGACACGTTCTTGGTTGCGGGCCAAGTCGCCCTTATACCACTAAGCCTCTTCACATGTGATAAGAGCGTTATTGATATGATACCATAATTCATCAAAATCATTACATGTAATGTTAAATCATAGACGCAGACAACTTTTGGCGCGACCTAAGTCGTAGAACACGTCTTCCGTATATCACCAGGTCCCCCACGGATATTATTACATGTAATAAAAATATTCTCGTAAAATAAAGGTGTTCTCGTCTCAACCCTACGTATATATAAAAAGTAGGTAAGGAGCGTTTTTGTGGTTATACATATAAAAGAAGATAATGATGATCGGCAAGGACGAGATATTGGAAATAGTGGACGGTCCCAATCACTTCTTTTCACTACCAAAACACCACATGATTTTTGTTTTTTTTTTTAAATATTAATTCTTTTTAATAAAAAAACATAAAATATTAATTCTTTTTTATTAAAAATATAACTTGAAAAATTATAATTCTTTTCTTTATGGTTTTATCATTAATTCTCCTAATATTAATTTATTTAAAATTTAATTCATTTAAATTTAAATTAAATTTCTATTCTTTATGGTTTTATCATTAATACTTTTAAGAGAAATTTATAAAACTAACCGGTTTATACAATCTTTTGCCACAAAATAATCACATTTTAGAGTTTTTGTCGGAATGACCACCGGGGGCGATCCGTATTATATGGGGGGCAACCCCCCCTTATGTCTTAAAAAAAATTACCCCCGTATAGTACGGATCGCCCCCGGTGGTCATTCCGGCAAAAACTCTAAAATGTGATTATTTTGTGGCAAATGGTTGTGTAAACCGGTTAATTTTATAAATTTTCCTACTTTTAATATTAACTTATTTGCTTACTTTTTTTTTATGTTTTTTAATTAAAAAAATGTGATAATTCTTAATTTACAGTCAAATAATTTTATATATACACGTGAAAAGTTAAACACTGAGTTTAATTATTTGAAAATTTTAAAAAATTAATATTCGAGAAAACTTCCATTTTTAGTTTTTTTTTCACATTTAATTATAATATTTAATGCATTAATTAACATATAATTTTTACGTGTATTTTTTGTTTTACAAATACGGTAAAAAGATTCAAATTGTGAAGCGATCACACGTGGAATAATCACATCATGAAACTAATATATGTTAATCACTACATTAAATTCTAGCCGCAGATGAAAAAAAATCATATGAAATAACACATAATGCATTTGTTTTTCAATAATTTAAAAAGTTATTAGGGTGCTCACATAATATAACGAGATATATATCAACTTTAATGTTTCATTTTATTATTTATCTATGTTGATATAATACAAGTTTTAGTAGTTTTGAGAAAACGATAATGTTTTTATTTTTGAATAAAATACAAACTAAAATATATCATAAAAAATTAGAAAAAAAATATATCGATATTAGTATCAAATTTACTATTTAAAGTTCTGGTTTTTAGTGTAATTTCTTTAGTTCAATATTTTTATTTTTGTAATTTAATTTAGATTTAATAACGGAGTAATTTATTTATCATTTAAATATATAAATTTTATAAATATAATAATTAAGTTTTTGTTATGACTAATGAATATTCTAATTATATTTTAGATTTTTTATATCCAAAATGAGATGTTTATTTATAATTAGTTACATAAATGAAGCTTTAATAAATTATACTTACGCACAATTTACTTATAATCTTGAATTTTAAGTAATACATATCAATAAACAGTACTTTATGCATAAAAAAATGGTTTTTAAGAGTTTTTATCAAATGTTTTATAATATAACTAGAAAGGTACTCGCGCAATACAGTAAGATATATATCTTTATTTTAATGTTTTGTTTTATTTGTTGTCTCTGTTAATATATAGTATGATTTTTGTGGTTTTGATCAAAATAGTGTTTTTACTTTTGAATAAAAATAACTTTGAAGATATCATAAATTTTTGAAAAAATATATCGATATTAATATCAAATTAACTATTTAAAAGTTATCGTTTTTGTACAATTTATGTAATTCAATTTTTTATTTTAATTTTAATTTAGGTATAATAGCGAATTAATATATTTTTGGCTTAACAATATATTTTTATAAATATAATGATAATGTTAAAACTCAATAATTATTTTAATTATATTTAAGATTTTTTATATTTAAAATAAGATGTTTATCTTGTATTTAATTATGTTTATCCACGGTTAGTTATACAAATTCAAAAATAAAGTTTTAATAAGTTGTACTTGTGTACAATTTATTTGTAATATTAAATTTTAAGTAATATGCATCAATAAACAGTACTTCATGTATAAAAAATAGTTTTTAAGAGTTTTTGTCAAATACTTTATAATATAGTATATATATATATATATATATATATTATAAAGATAATACATTTATTTTTAAAACAAATTAAAATTAAAATAAATATTAAATTGACGATTAAAAAAAATTCAAAAGTCATGGAGAATCCTTGGCCCAAGGGAACAGTGTGTTCCCACTAGAACCGCGTATATCATCACCACCCTCTGGTATATACTCTGGTACACAGCTTTCCTTCCAATGCTTTCGCTTCATCTCAACCACCCTCCCTCTCTCTCTCTCTCTGTGCAAAATCATCAAATCATCGCCGGCGGTAGACATGCAGTCGAACTCGGTGATCTCGGTATCTCCCAGTTTCACGGCTCATTCTTCTAACAACCTGGCGGATATTGCCGCTAGGGTTGTGCAAGAATTTCGTCACGAAAATGGTGAGGATGACATCTATGACGACTTTCCTGATGATGGTAATCAGTTTTATGTTCCTTCAGATGACGAAAAATTGAAGGAAAATGACGAGGATTCGGATGAAGATGGAGAGTTTGAGTTTGATGTTGTCCGTACACAGTCTCATTCATCTCCTGTTTCGGCTGATGAGATCTTCTCCAACGGTGAGATCCTGCCGCGATATCCGCTGTTTGATCGGAGTTTATTGTTAGACGACGACGTTCCTAATTTTTATAAGATTTCTGATGATTCGAATGCGAATTCCAAGCCGTCTCCGGTGGTACGCGTTCCTTTGAGTAAGCTTTTCAGCGAGGAACGCGATTCGGCTTCGTGTTCGTCGTCGGAGACGGATGATCTGGACGGAATTACTCCGGGAACGTACTGCATCTGGAAACCGAAGGCTGAATCTCCAGGAAGGTGTAAGAAGAGCAATTCAACTGGTAATACATCGAAACGATGGACGTTCCGCAACCTTCTCCACCGAAGCAACAGCGACAACAATTTCGCTGCCAGTAAGGATGCTTCTATTGTCGTTTTCAGTCCTGTAACGGCAACGAAGAAGAGAGCTGAAAAGGTAAAGAAGGCAGAGAAAACGTCAAAAGTAGCTGTTGCCGACGGTGACGACGACGGCGATATGACGACGACGACGACTGTAACAATCGAAAACAATCCTGCAAACAAAACGAACAAAGGAGGTAATCGTCATCGTTCGTATCTTCCGTATAAACAAGATCTGGTTGGTGTATTTACTAACGTAAACGGATTGAGCAGAAATCTACACCCCTTCTGAATCATGTGATTACGATTTTCAGTTACGAAATCTATACAGTACAAGTAGCATATAATTATCTGTATATACACATCTCAACTTCATCAAATCAATTTGGAGTGCTTTCCAGTAGATTTACAGAGACGCCGTCGCCGGAAAGTTCACCGTCGGCGGTGCAGATGCTTGGTGTTTTGTGCTGGGGCCAGAAATGGCTTTAGAGAAAAAGTAAAAGGGGGTAAAGTGAAAATTAGAAAAAGGAGAAAAAAGAAAAGTGTGGGGTAGGTGTTATCACACCATATTTGTGAGGGTAATTATGTCTTTTTATGAGGTTAATGGGCATGAGGATTGCTTTTGAGTTATTGGATATCTATGGAAACTTCTTCCATATGATCAATTTAATCTTTTTCCAATTATTATTATTTGAATTATTTTCTATTTAATATTTATCGACTTATTCCGATCAGCTGAAATTATTGGTTCCGAATACGAAATAAAATTGGTACGAAATTTTTACGACCCACGATCGGTTAAGAAGTCTTTGATTTTAACGTATCTTAATGAATTTATGGTTTAACACAAATGTCCACAGCAGATTTTCAGAACATTCAACTCCAACAATTTTTCAATTTGGAAACTGCATGGACAGCCTACATGGACAATGAGGTGACATGAAAACTTGGTATAATGGATAAATTTAAATCAAAATGTTACCCAATGCTATAAAATGGGTAAATTTTTCAAAGTACAATATCCTAATAAAAAATAATTTGAAAGTATATTGCTCTAATAAGAAAAATTAGAAGTACAATGTTATAATAAAGAAATTTATGAAAGTAGATTGTTATTTTGTGCATTTTGCCCTTAATTATATCATTAGAAATTGTTTGTTTACCTCTTAATAGTTTCATCAAGAGGCAGTCTCTAAACCGTTAAGAGTTGAATCTTGTTTGACAAAAAAAATTTGTTTCTTAATGGTTTTAAAACTCTCTAGATGATATTGTATCTTGGGTTTTCCTTAACCATTCAACACCAATAATTTCATTTTGAATAGTTACCAAACAATTATATTTCATTTTACATTATATTATAAAAGTCTCTTAATCATTATGACTACTTAATCATTTTACATTAAATCATTCAACAACTGTCTAACAACCTTTAATAATATCTTTCATACTTTTTGCATTTTCAAGAAAAAAAAAATCACTTTAAAACTTTCATTTTCTTATTTTCAAACTTGCTTATTTTGGTTAATTCATTTGGTTAGATTTACTACTCCGATCAAAATCAATTTCAAAATGGAAAGAATATTTTATATTTTTTTAATTAAAATAATATTAAAATATTGTTGTTTTTATCTTCCAATATTATTTTAAGTGTTTACAAAAATAAAATATATAAAATCTCTAGTTTGTCTTACTATTAATATTAATATTAAAAACCTATTAGAATATTATATTTAAATATATTATTTACAAAAATAGTAATTTCAAAGGAGACAAAAGTAGGCTTATCTTTGCCTTAAATCCCATGACACAATGAAGTTATGATGATCTCATAATTAAGTCATCATCCCTCAAATTCCAAAAGCGCCTAAAATAAAGAAAATAGTGGTGTTGTCGTCGGTGTTGATCTAGATATTCGACCTGTTATGTGAGCTGAATAATTTTAGAATGATTATCTATTTTATGGGTAGGTCGGAGTCATCGTATTTGAACCTTCGTGGCCATAAGAGGATTTTTATTTCTCATTAGAATCGAACCTAAGACCTCTAGACACTTTTGACATTTGAAGCTCAAGCTCTAACCAATCAGGCACTACACTTGTGGTTAATATATCGTTCTCTGTATACAAAATATAAAATATCCGTCAAAAAATTTAGAACTTGATGATAATGGAGATAACGGTTATTTTATTCGATTCCATTTATAAGATTAAATTATTATTTATATATATATATATATATATATATATATATATGAGTTGAATGTATTTTTCTTTACAGATTTTAGCTTTTGGTTTCAAATTTAAAGTAACTACAAAAAATCTGTCGAAGAGGTTTTTTTTATAAAAGTTTTAATCTGTTATGAGTTGTAACTGCTAATTTTATTATCAAATTAGTAATTAATGGAAATGAGTGGCACGTATCATGAATATCGATCATGATAGATACATGTATCGACAATATAACATGACGACTTTTACATGTATACAAATAAGTTCTTTTTTAGAAAGAAATTTCTATGACGGTGCATCATCGTTCGGTTACTTCGTTCTTAAGCAAGGTTAAAACGACTACGGAAGGAAGTAAATATTAAAACAACAGAACACATAGAAAATTACCGTCGATATTTTTAATCAAAACTACCAAAAAAAAGTAGAGAATGAGACGTTAAGTGGGAGGTGTTCAGATCAGAGAGAAGATATGCATGTCGGAGGTGTTCAGATCAGAAATATGCCGAAGAAGTCTAATGGGTTTTTGGCAGTTGCTGAATGGGTTGGTGCAAAATGATTAAGAGGCTCTTATAATATACTGCAAAATGAAATATAATTGTTTGGTAATTATTCAGAATGAAATTAGGGTGCTGAATGGTTAAGGAAGGCCCAAGATACAAAATCATTCAGAGGGTTTAAGAACCATTAAGAGCTAGACTTTCTTTTGCCAAACAAGATTCACCTCTTAACAATTCAAAGACTGTCTCTTAATGGAACTATTAAGAGGTAAACAAACAACTCCTAAGAAACCGAACATGAGAAGAAGAATATAAGAGTAACAATTGGTAGATAACAGATGGAGAATAAGTATGGCAACGATATAAATATCGACAAGATGAGTTACAAATTCTGATCAGTTAAGATCTCAATGGATGAAGAGTCAGATAAAAAAGAATCATGTGATTTAAATAAGCGATGCAACAGTTAATGATCGTCACAAGTGGATGTGGAATGGGAGAAAATACTACAGATAACGACAATAACTGATATCGAATACATAACACGTTGGTGTAAACCGATAAACTAAGTAGTGGGCAAAAGTAGGTCAAGAGGATTTATTCGGGAAAGACATTGATGACGAGATTTGACAGATTTTCGTTGTTTTAGCAATCTCATGTAACTTTCGCTCAACGCTTTTCTTATTTAATAAGTTCGGGATTACACTTCTTAATTACATATCTTAACTTGGAAAGATTAATCTATTGGAAATAAGTTATTATCTATTAAATAGATAGTAAAAAGACGATATAATTTTTTTTGATTAACCTGAATATCCAACCCGCTATGCGAGCCGACTAATTCCATAATGACCACCTGCTTTACAGGTAACCCGGAGTCACCACATTTGAACCTCTGTGGCCACAAAGGAATTTTTATTCCTCGAATTTGAACCTAGGACCTTCAGACCATTTTGCTTTTGGAGCCCAAGCTCAAACCAATCAGACACTTAATTGATCTGCATATAGTTCGGTGTTTCATAGTTTTTGTACTTTTTGATAGTTACGTTTTTCCCCCTCCAATTTGTATGAATTTTCTCCGTAATTTATTAAAGAGTAAACCAAAAATTTGGCGCCTGTGGTCTTTTCAAAGTACAATTTTAGTCCCTATAGCTTCGAAACTACAATATGACTAGGGGTGAGCGGCGGAACCGGGTATCCGGTTATAGAAACGGGCGGTTCCAGAATCGGAACCGATATGCGTGGTTCCGGTTCCTAAAATACGGAACCGATTGAGAATGGTTCCGGTTCCGATTCTCAATTTTTCGGAACCCTTACCCGCCGGGTATCCGGTATTTTTCAATAAAAAAATAATAATTATTTTTTAATACCAAATTTATATTAGGTTTACATCTTAAAAGCACGTCGTCATCTTCAATCTTCATCTAAATTCTTCATATAAAATGATTCGTATTTTTTTAAATTGTGTGTTCACTTGGATTCATAGTATGTAATCGTTAAACTTTGAACATTTTATATTAGTCTATTATGGTTTGTAATCGTTAATCAATATTTGTAACCATTATTCTGTATAATTTGTATTCTTGCTTAGTGTTTTGGCAATGTTTTATTTTTTATTTCTAAATAACAATTTTTTAATATTTTAGGAAGCGGGTACCCGGAACCGGTTCTCGGCGGTTCCGGTTCCAAAAATTTAAGAACCGCTCTAACCGGTTCCTGTCAAAAAGGACGGGTACCCGCCTATGCTCACCCCTAAATATGACTATCATGGTTTGTAAAATGATGAGCATTTTTGTCATTTTATCGATTTGTTTGTCTTTTACCCAGTCAATATCGATTTTATGATTTTAGTCACTATGGTTTTAATTGGGTAAAAGACAAAAAAAATAGAAAATAAAAGAGAAATTAATAGGAATAATCATTTACAGACTCTGGTTTCATCTCTCAGTCATTTTCTCTTGCAATATTTTAAAAATGTCACTACATTCGCAAGTGTCAGCTCCTCAACTTGCCAAGGTGTCAAACTGTAAAAAAAAAGAAATTTTGAACCAGGTCCGCAAGTACAGAGACCAAATCTGTAAATTAGACGTGGTCCGGAAGTCCGCCACTTGCGAAGGTGTTGGGAATAATTTACATGTTGACGAAGTTGTACGAACAGATTCACGTATAACCATGTGGGGTCTCGTGCCCCCTGTTTTATTATAGTGATGCAGTGGAATTTGTTTACGACTCTATATGCACCCGTTTTAATTCGATGGGTATTTCTGTAATTCACAAAAAAACTAAATGAGTGTTGCAGTAAACCGTTGGTCATCTTAAATGAAATCGATTAACAACATGAGGATGCAACACTAAATTGTCAAGACAAAACAGTCGACTTGGGATCATGTGAAACCAACATGTTTTTGTGAGACCCGTGAGACCACTTTTTTACACTTGAAACTTCACAGTAAAATGCTGTGAAGGTTCAGATTTTTTTTACCTTCACAGTGTTTTTGCTGTGAAGTTTCAAATGTAAAAAGGTGGTCTCACGAGTCTCACAAAAACAGACTGGTCTCACGTGAATCCAACGCCAAAACAGTCAATGTGTTAAAACACTGAAACTGATTAAGCAATTGGTTGAGCAAATAAGCCGCAACCAAACAGCTTTTTATGGCCGACCAAATAAGCCATATTTTCTTATTCAGTCCATTAAGCTCCTGCAGAACAGCCTTATTGACAAAGCTATTTTTATTAATTTTCTAAAAAAGAAAATTACAGATGTGCCCTTAGTCAATCCATTGTAAAATCAAACCATATCGAACAAATCCTTCTCCAATGGCGATTCCTTGGGTATGTTTCATCCCTAATCCGTAGTGAATCACGTATTAAAACGCTTATGGCTTCTACATGCGGTTTCTGCTCTTCGTCTTCCATTTCCTTCAGTCGGAGAAGTTTGAATCACCGGATCGTCTTCCAATCAGCAACACACCATTTTCGAAGCACTCAGATTTCTTTACAAGAACCAGTTTCTGAAGTAACCAACAATTTAGAATTCTATAATTCAAATCTTTCTCAATTGGCGAACGAGAAAAGGAAAAAGTATATTTGGGTCAACCCGAAAAGCTCCAAATACCTTAAAGATTCAAATCTTTCTCAATTGGAAAATGAGAAAAGGAAAAGTTACATCTGGGTTAACCCCAAAAGCCCCAAAGCTTCACAGTTCCGGCGAAAGTCTTATGATCCAAGGTACAGATCTCTCACCAAAGTAGCAGAATCTTTAAGTTCATGTTTTACTGGTATTTTTAACGTATTGGGTCGTAATTTAGGTAGTAAGCATGAAAAGCGCAAGATGGTGTTTATTATCGTTGATAGACATGGTCATAAACCTCAAACGGCACGTGCTCAAATACTTTGAGGGTAGATTTTGATTTTGAGTCGAAAGCTTGTCTTTTATAACGTGAGTTATCATGTTTTCAGAAAGCGCAAGGATGTGGATGATGCAGAGCAACTGTTTGATGAAATGCTTCAGAGAGGTGTTACACCTGACAATACTACATTTCAAATGATTATCGAGTGTGCTCTGATGAGCCATTTACCGAGTAAGGCTGTGGCATGGTTCGAAAGGATGCCAGAGTTTCGGATCCAACCAGATGATGCTACATATGCATTGATGATTGATGCCTATGGGAGGGTTGGGGATGTGAAAATGGCACTGCAATTGTATGATCGTTCGAAGATCGAAAAATGGCAATTAAGCACAAATATATTCACAACCCTTATCAGGATTCATGGGACAACTGGGAATTTTGATGGGTGTCTGACTGTTTTTGAGGAAATGAGGGCTGTTGGTATTAAGCCCGACTTAATTTGCTATAATACCATGTTGGATGCTATATATAGAGCGAAGCTGCCATCGGAGATTAAGTCTATCCACCAAGAAATTCTGAATAGTGGATTAAGCCCCGCTTTTGCAACGTATGCTTCTCTTCTTCGTGCGTATTGTAAGTCGTGTTGTGGTGATGAAGCCATGAATGTGTATAACGAGATGTTGGCGAAAGGGATGGAGCTGAATACGCTTCTTTACAATACCCTTTTGCGAATGTGTGTTGATATTGGTTTCGTAGATGAAGCAGCATCGATATTTGAGGAGATGAAGAGATCAAGGTATGGTCAGCCAAACAGTCGGACGTTTTCATCCTTAATCACGATATTTTCCAGCTGCGGGCAAGTCTCGGAGGCAGAGGATACATTGGAAGAAATGTTAGAAGCGGGTTTCAAGCGTGATGTATATGTTTTGACTGATCTACTTCAATGTTATCGGAAATCCAACCGGATAGATGATGTGGTGAGAACGTTAGATAGGATCACGGAGGTTGATATAACTCCAAACGAGCGGTCTTGCATCTGTCTTCTGAAGGTGATGACGGAAGTCCCTCGGGAGGAGATGGGTAGGGTTACGAGATGCATCGAAAGGGCTAATCCGAAGCTTGGTAATGTGGTGAAACGGGTCGTGGAATCGCCGGATGTCGAAGATGAAATCTTTAAGAATGAAGTTAGTGAAGTAGTTAGTCAAGTGGGAGATGATGATTCAAGGAGAGCTTATTGCAAGTGCTTAATCGATCTATGCGTCTACCTTCGAAAGCCGGAGAAAGCAAGGTATGTTGAAACACTACTGTAATTAACCTTGTTCATTTGGCTGTTTTCGTGTTCTCTTATTTGGTTACCATTGGAAATGAAGTTGTTTGCCATCTTTTCTCCTGAAATAGATTGCTTAAAATCCAAGTGTGCTTGTAGCTAATATCTTAGCAGGTTAATGAATTTAACGAGACTCACAGCTTATTCTGTCAGCTATATATGGTTATTTGGTAGTGGCTTAATGATATAAAAAATGACTTATTTAGTAAGCTTCTAGGGCGAGCTTTGTGCAGAAAACCAAGTTTTTTTTTCCAAATATGTGGGAAGTGTTAGAAAGGATCTCGACTCTTGATCACCTTTAATCTCAAACCCACCCATGAATTGCATTTGATACAGGGATTGATCTGATGCATCTCATCTTAATATGCATCCAAGAATGAAGAACTCTTCTTACACTTTCACCTTAGCTCTCCTTCTCACCGAAACTCAAACGAGAACCCCCCCCCCCTGTTTTGCGGAAATGTTTGAACAATTATGGACTTCTAACCTTTTTAATCAATAATTTAAATTATAATAAATAAAAACAGATCAATAAGGGTAGTAATGTAATTAGGTATTTTTTTAAAATAATTTTTATGTTATTTTAATTAATTGTAATTATCCCATGATTTCCGATTGGAATATGATCACGTTTAATCTCACGTCTCGAACTCTCGATTGTTTACTACATCCGCATATTCAATTACAGTGTGATATTCTTAGTTTCAACTTTTTTTCTGACCAAGAATGTAAGAGTCCAATCAATTAAAATAAAGAGGTTATTATCGATTCACACAGTGAATGTGACTTAACTAGACAGTGATAATCATGTGATAAACATACAATCTGATAAATATATACATTGTTTATTACTCAATTTTGCCCTTATGTTGTCGACAATCGAACAAACTGTGTTAATCGATCAAAACAGATGGGTTATCATTGATTCACATTGTGAATGTATCGGTTACAGAGTTCAAACGTGGAGGTGAACGGGAGGTTGAAGTAGTGGAGGGCAGGATTGGAAACAAAAGGAATGCACATTTTTTTTTATTAACATGGATATCCAACCCGCTATGCAAGCCGACCAATCCCAGGGTGACCACCAGCTTCGTGGGTAGCTCGGAGTCAACGCATTTGAACCTTCGTGGCCACAAGGGGATTTTTATTTCTTCTTGGATTCAAACCTGGGACCTCCAGACACTTTTGACCTTTAGAGCCCAAACTCAAACCAATCAGGCACCACCTTGTGGTTAAGGAATGCACATTAGCCGTTATAAAGCTGAATGACGTCTTTTGATCAAAGTCGAGAGTTACGCATATCGAAGATTGATATGGACTTGTTCGCATGGGATATTTAGCGGCTTTCGTGATGAGGGGGGAATGCTTGACTAGGGGTGTACACGGATCGAGTTTCTAACGAGCTACTCAAGCTCAAGCTTAATAATTCTTGAGCTTGAGTCAATCTCGACCACAAAATAAAATTCGTTTTAACTTTACGAGCCGAGCTTCATAACAGTAATGTTCCACTCGGCTCGTTTGAAAACTCAATTAAATTTTTCCAGTCGAGCTGAGCCATTCGAGTATACACTTTTTCGAGCCAAACATGCTAATATGTTCATAGATCATACAATCAAAATATAAAAACTATCAACCTCGAGCCAATAAATGAGTTGATCGATCGTGAGTTCGCTCGATAACTCAATAGATACTCAAGCTCGAGCTTGGTATATTTTTTTTCAAGTCGAGCTCGAATAACCTACTCGCTAGGCTCGTTTATGCCCCTATGCGTGACGGTCGAGGGGGCGACGAGGAGGGGATGGTCGAGAAGGACGTGGGTTGAGCAACTAAGAAAGCGCATGAAAGTCTTAGGGGTCGTTTACCAAACACTTACCCGGTAAGCGCTTACCAGTAAAATTTGACACTATCATTTACGTACCGGATAAGATTTTAGTCCACCAAAATGGTATCGTATGCAACAATTTACCTGGTAAGCACTTACTGTGGTAAGAGTCGTTGCCCTCACTTACCGGGTAAGACTTTTGGTTCTTGTCTCGCTATTACCGGGTAAGATTCTTGGTCTTTACCATATTCATCCGGTAAGGTAACGCGACTTGGTATTCACTTACCCAAGTAAACGTTTGGTAAACGGCCCTTAAGCGTTTCCGAGGACATGACGAGTTCTTGGAGGGCAATTTGTTACAATTAATATCAAACTGATTGTTTGACAGAAAACAATAAACAGTCCTAGAAAAGATGGCAAAAGTTTATATGTTATCTCATGGCAATTGCAAACATATTTACTCATAAAGCGATTGCCGGGGTCAAACCGGTGGTCGACGATGGCTTCACGCTAGCGGCATATTCCCGAGCCCACAAGTCGTAATGTATGATTTCCTCGAGGGAAGGCGCGGTCACCAATTCCGATTGATGCTTCTCACATGTTAGCTCGACGACCTTGAATATATCCAAGTACTTAATCCTGGATAACAACAAAATCGCCTAATTTAGCGGAAAAATAGGAACAATGAGCATATAAGAAAAGTGTTAGTTGTTGAAACGTACTTCTCGTCGATGAACATCTCAACGGCTTTCTCGTTCGCGGCACTAAGAACTCCAGTCATCGTGCCGCCAGCTCGCCCAGCGGAATAAGATAAATCCATCGAGGGGTATTTCACGTTGTCGGGAGCTTTAAACGTCAGCGATCCCAGCCTGCATCACGGTTGTACTTTCCGGAATTAGAATAGGAGGTCAAATCTTCGTGTTAACTAGTGTATATAAGGCTATGTTTACAAATTAGCAGATAAGCTAGCTGCAAGACCATCTTCAACAGATTCTCCAAAATACAGAAGACGGAATTTTGGAGTTTTTAAACTACCTTTTTGCTCCAACAGATTCCACAAAACTTTCTCAAAAAATGGAAAAAGCAGGAGAGACGATAAAAATTCCCAAATTTGGAGAAATCTTTAAAATTAAATGTTGAAGAGAGAGAAATTTGAAAATTTATTGGGATAATAAATTAACTGAACATTTTAATAATATAATTAATGTTGAAATTTCCAAAGTACATTAACCGTAGCAATTCAATGTAACTTCTTTTGGAGATTTTCACTTTTGCTTCTCAATTTTAGAAAAAATATAGAGAATCTGTTAGAGATGCTCTTTGCTTATAAGCTAACCGTCTGCTAAAAAGCTAGTTGATAAACTACTCATCTTTGGGAAAAACCATATGATAATATAAAATGATCTAAAAGGACGTCTTAAACAACTGATTGGAATAATACCGGGGGCATAACCGTAAAAAGCCACGGGTCAAAAAGTTAGTTTAGCTAACCAAACGGTGGCCTTTTAATAAGCTCAAAAAATAAGCCACTAGAACAATATTTACGTACTTGCAGAGATCGAGACGAGGCCATGTAAGCTCGGAACAGTGTATTCTATCTGGCCAAGACAGTGTGTAAAGAATCGGCAAACGCATATCAGGCCACCCTAATTGTGCCAGGACCGATGAGTCCTTAAAAAGAATAGGAAATGGAAACGGGTTTCCGTAAGTATTTGAAGTCTCATACACACCCTCTTCTTTTCACGGGGTTATATATGAATAAATAAGCGGAGTTATGGCTCGTAAGCAAAGGGCAAGATCGGAATTAAACCTGTGTCTCAACCATCGAATGTATGATCGATTGAGGGTGAATAACAATTTCAATATTATCATAATCCGATCCATAGAGATAATGAGCTTCAATAACTTCAAGACCCTGTCAAATTGAAGACCAAGATCTTAGTTAAGCTATCTTTGGCAAATTAGCTGATAAGTTAGCTGTTAGCTGATAAATTAGTCATGTTTGATAAAAACTAGCTGTTAGATAACAACGTAAAATGACCAAAAAGGACATGTTGAGCAATTAATTGGAAAAATATAGGGGGCATAGTTGGAAAAGATAACTCCTTGAGCTTATTGAAAAGCCAGCTTAAGTAGCTTTTCAAAAAGCTAGCTTTTGGCTAATTAAACGGGGTTCTTTCAATAAGCTCAAAAAATAAGGTAGCTTATGGTTATCAAATATGCCCTTAATGAGCCTGGTGCACTAAGCTCGGGGCTCATTGCAAATATTACCTTGTTGAAAAGTGTAGCCGAATCCACGGTGATCTTTTTCCCCATGCTCCAGTTGGGATGTTTCAATGCATCCGCCACTTTAACGTCTTTTAGTTTTTCAACTGGCCAGTCTCTATCATAACAAAAGGAAAAAAAACGAAATTCATTTATGGGCGGGCGACCCAAGTTTTCACCCCTCTGTTTACTCATCTGGGTGCTTGGCAAACTAGCTGATAAGTTAGTTGTTAGCCGATGAACTAATCATATTTAGTAAAAAGTTGCTGATAAGCTAGATAACAATGTAAAAAGAACTAAAAGGGCAAGTTAAAGAACTAATTGAAAAAAATACAAGGCATAATTGGAAAAAAGTGAAAAAAACCCGCAGCTTCTTGAAATGCTACTAGAAGTAGTTTTTCAAAAGGCTAGCTAATGGCAAATCAAACGGGGTTTTTTCAATAAACTCCAAAAATAAGCTAGGTTATGGTTACCAAATATGGATTTAAAACGAATCACGATACCTAAAAGCACCGCCAGATGCAGTTAAGATTATACGCCTTAGAGCGCCTTCAGGGAAGCCTTGAATACACTAAAAAATGAAACCCGTTAATCATTTTTAGATAGCATGACGATAAAGACGACGATTATACTAAATGAAGTCTTCATTATGAACTATTTTTCTTTTTCTCGTATTACCTGAAATATAGCGGAATGTTCAGAATCCGCGGGAAGAATCTTTACGTTGTGTTTACGTGCAAGAGGAAGAACAAACGGCCCGCCAGCAATTAACGTTTCTTTGTTAGCTAAAGCTATGTTTTTCCCCGCTTCAATGGCAGCAACTGTAGGCTACGGAAAACAAAATTATCGCATGAAAATATCTCAAATGTTACAAAAACTGCAACTGCATATCATCTTTCATCATATACGATCCATTGATCACTTAATTACCAGCGGATTTCAGATGGAAACCAAAAAGATAACAAAAATATAAGGAAAATTTTCAACGGTATAAGATTAAGAAATACCGTTAAACCAGCACATCCAACTATGCCTGTTACCACGGTGACACAATCTGGGTGGCGGGCGACCTGAAATAGAGTAGAAAAAGTCTACGGTGAGTGATTGAATGGACTCCAAAATGCTGACAAGATAAAATACGATGAATTTTACCGACCTCAATGACGCCTTGCTCCCCGGGAATAATTTCCGGCATGTAATCAGCATCAGCCAACGCTTCTTTGAGTTCATTGACTAAAGATTCGTTTCTAATAGAAACTAATTGAGGTTTGAATGTCTTTACCTACAACATGAAACAAGGCGTTGATCCAATTGAACACATGTTTCGGTCTTCATGGAAACAATTGTCCTACTCTTTGGGGGTAGAGGACAAGTCTACATATATTTGACCCCTAGACCCTACTTCCAAGTAGAGATGCACAAAAAAGCCAAGGCCTCGTAAGCCCGAAGCCTGGTCCGGGCCAGGCCTCAAAGCCCGATCAGACTGAAAGTTTGGGGACAGGCCCATCCTGAAAAGAGGATGCAAGCAAAACCCTTTTGACATATCTACATGGAAATAGGATGCAAGCAAAACCCTTTTGACATATCTAAATTCAACACACTACGAGTTTGTGTTCATTTCCAACAAAATTTTTTTTGTAACCGTGGGTGTCTGAGCCAGTTTGCACGCACATCGACTAATCCCATGGGACCCTGAAGATAACAGACAGCAAAATCCCCAAACCCAATGGCCCTGACGAATCTTGAACCGGCTAGTCCAAGTCCACGACCATGCCTTTATTTGCCAGTTGAGTTGGCCCTCAATATTCATTTCCGATGAGTTTGTATTACTGGTTTTTGCTTTTTGATTGTATTCGCAAAGTCTCAGGATGTGCTTCTAACCATATCTAATCTTTGTTCTTGATCTCTAAGATATCAATCTTTTTTGCAGCGAGCAATAAAAAGCAGTAATCAAAGTAGATGAAAAACAAAACATATGTTAGAACTTAGAACAAGACAACTAGTACACAGATGAAAAGTCTGCCTACATCTTACCTCACACCCCTACTTTCACAGATAATATATGAGGTTTACTTTTGAGCAAAAGATTGATTACTGACAACCCATCCGGCCCCACAAATAACCACCCCCTAAGAAACACATGTAAGCAGTTATTTCAGAGTTCAAACCCATCTTTTGCAGAAACTTGGACCTGTATTTGAGCAAAGTCGTTCAGCCTTTCAGGTATTTGAGCAAATCCCGAGACTTTAGTGTGAAATATACTGGGTTTATTTGGTTTTTAGAACTAGAAGATACAATTTATGACTTCTAATATCCATTTTTCTACCTTAAAACACTACCAAATAAAATCTTGAAGATTAAAAACCAGGGTTACACCATAATCACCTGTTCAGCAAGAAGCGTCACGTTTGAACCAGCAGCAAGTGCCACAACTCTAAATTTATCGGGGTTTTCAGCAACGATATCAAGTGTCTGCAAACTCGAAATTGAAATAATCAACAATGCAAATCAAACCCAAAAATCATAAAATTCCGTGCATATTTTCAACACCCGCCAAGTGTTTGATAAAATTCACCTGAGTCCCAATAGAACCAGTAGATCCAACAATCGAGATAGGTTTTGGGCCGTCCCAATTCTTAACCCCAGGGTCCACAAGAGCCGTCCCCGGCCACGCCGGCGGTGGTGCAGGCTGCGCCGAACATCGAATCCCTTTTCCAATTGCAACCTTAACATCTTTTCTCTTAAAACAAAACCCACCTGATATGAACCCCAAATACACAGAATTAACAGTAAAAAATGGAACATACATCACTCTAGTAACTTGAATTTGTGATTGGATTGCTAGAACACATACCTTGGAGGTTGAGAAGATGGTTTTGCGACTTGGAGGTATCGGAGAAAGTGATCAGTTTGGTTTGTGTTGGAGATAGAAAATTCAGAGACATATTTTGTTCTTTTTGTGAAGGAGTGATTTGGATTATGAACTGAAAACAAGAAATGGACACAGAGATTAGAGAGTGAAAGATCGATCGAGTGTGTGGGGATGATTATGAAGAAGAAAGGAGGAACACATATAAACAGGTGTTCGTTTAACAGTTTATTTCTATACAACAAAAATGATAAATCCTTTTTTTTATTTATAAATTTAATGTCATCATAAAAAATAAATATTTAAAATATCCATATATATATTTGGGTATCACAATGTGTATCTTGTATTAGATTTGCTGAAGAGAAGAAAGAGGAGAGATGAAAGAAGCTATTTAGAAAATTCTTAAAATGCTCTTAATTAATATTTTAAGTTAAAATTACCAAAATTATTAATTTTTAAAATTAACTTTTGATTTGTGGTTGAGATTGGATCAACAATTATATTAGGAAATAGTCGATATATTTATGGAATCAGATATTTTTTAGACTAGATGGACGGTTGAGATTGATTTGTATAATTTATAATATTTTCATGGTTTGTATTTGATTTTTATCCCCAACTTCCCCTCTCTCTCTCTACACACACACACATATATATATATATATATATATATGTATATGAGAGAGAGTGAGTGAGTGTGTGTGTAAATAAATATAAAAATAATGTATAATCTTTTATAATTATAAATATAGTATAAGAAAGGGTAAATTTCGGGTAACATACTTTTAAAATTTTCATTTTGGTAATTAATAATGTAAAGTTTTAAAATTTAAGTACATGATAATCAGTTGAAGCATTAACCGGTTACCATGCTGATGTGACGAGTGATGTGGTATCCAACTCAGTATTATTTGCTGACATGGATATCTTAATCTAACCGGTTAATGCTTCAACATGTTCAACCAGTTACTCGGGTATCTAAATGTTTAAAACTTTACATCTTAGATACCAAAATGGAAGTTTTGAAAGTACATTACCCAAAATAGGAATCAAGTTAAATTACGTTACTTTTTCTTGCAATTTGCCCTATAAGAAATAATGTACTAATATTTACATCTAAAAGACTAAAACCATCTAAAATATCATTTTGATGCTACTAGTGTACTATCAAGAGAATTAGCCATCAAAGGTATCTATTCAACAGAAAATCTTTTAAATATTTAGTTTATTCATGTCATTTATATTTACAATATAATAACCCTTAAAAACAATATTTGAAGGGCAATCTAGTAATTCTGTTATACAGATAAATTGTCCAATATCATGTCCTAGTCGTATCAATCATCAGATAGGCAGCTAGTCAAGTTCAGTTCAGTCCTATCTCGTTTATGTAACAAACACACCCTTATAATTTAGTTCATTTCATTGCTTTACGAGAATCAGTAATATTCTGGATTTAACCACAAGGGTGGTGTCTGATTGGTTTGAGCTTTACTCCAAAGGTCAAAACTACCAAGAGGTCCTAGGTTCAAATCCAAGGAGGAATAAAAATCTCCTTGTGGCCACAAAGGTTCAAATACGGTGACTTCGGGCTATCTGCAAAGGAGGTGATCGCCCAGGGATTAGTCGGCTCGCATAGCGGGTTAGATATCCAGGTTAATTAAAAAAAATATTCTGGATTTTTATACCATCTACATTAACGTGATCATATCCCTTGTCGAGCTTTGAGATTTTGCACTTTTCGTAAAGATCTTTAACTGTATACATAAAAGACGTCATTCGTTTGATGAGAAATAAAAATGCTTCTATTTATAACAAATCTTTGTTGTCTTTTCCCGTCTAAGGATGCCGTGCATGGTTGGCAAGTAACCATCCATCGTGCCACTACCTGCGGGCTACGGTGGTAACAGTTAGGTCAGTTACAACACTTTCAAGATGTTCTGATCTAAAACACTAAGAATACTGCTATTTTTCTTAACACAAAACGGGTATTTATTACGTTTCAGTAACAATTAAATTAGTTCTGGTCCGCCAAAACTCGTATTTTGTTATTACTAAAAGGGCATTTAAATACTGAAGTTTTAAACCATCCAAAATCATATACTTATTTTTTCAAGACGTGTAATTTTAATGGTCTCTGTGGTGGAGTTTGTTTTTTAAGAGATGTTAAAATCTGAAATCTTATTTTACTTTTGATTAATAAGAGTTGGTGTTGAAGTCTGAAATTTGAATTAATAAGACTGTTTGTTTTTGTAAACTGATAAATGTATTAAATTGTCTATTTTACCTATCAGAAAATTATAATGTTGAATTTATAGATAAATTTATACAATTTCACATATTTATTCATATTAGAAATTTACATCTAAATAATATAATTTAAAAAAACATGTCATTAACGGTATTTAACATATTTAAATCCTATTAAAAATACATCAATTGAGAGAGATGCAGATCGATTTGGTAAGAATTGATTGAGAGAAATGATTGATTAAGGTAAATCAATTGGGAAACGTCGTTGCTGAGGGATTGAAGAACAATAAAAGGTAAATAAGAGGCTGGTTTACCTCTCACTAGATAAGAGGAGAATATGATATAAGTGCCTCTGAAAAATTGGAAAAAACAAACAGTCTGAATGATCCTATCTCTTAACGAATCAGACATAAGAGGCCGACAAGAGCTTTTTTTGAAAAAAACAAACAAGGCCTGTAATCCCAGATGTATGTTTTAAAACACGATTTTAAAGGCACACTTTCAGATTTATAACAACTGGAATGCTTTTTCACCTCGTAAATATTTGACTAATCGAATTTACGTTTTTTTCCATCTTATTGTTGTAACAACCCGTCTCACATAAATACGTGAGAAAACCGTAGGCTCCTTATAAGCTCAAAGTTATGGGTTAATAAAGACATATTCAACATATTATATTAAATATTAAAATAATATAATTAATGTTATAATCTCTAAAATGAAAAATCTCTTCGAGTTGAATGCAATATTTTTGGAGATTTTGATTTTTGAGAATCTGTTGGAGATCTTCTAATAACTTTTATCATGATTTTAAGTTGATTTCGAATTTAGTAGGTTAACAGACGAATTTATGAGCTCCTTATAAGTTCAAAAGTTATGAATACCAGTAAGGCATTGTTTGGCAAACATAAGCTAGCTTATTTTTTTAGTATATATTTGAATGGACATAAGTTAGCTTATAAGTTGATTTATAAGTTGATTTATTGAAAAGCTACTTGAAATAACGTTCAGGGAGTTTATTATCACTTTTTTCAATCATAACCCTTATTAATATTTATTATTATTTATTAATATTAATCATAAACAAATAAATAAGAATATATATTAATAAATAATAAATATTAATAAATATTAA